CAGGGCCTTCCCATCTGGTCCCCGTGACGTTGACTGCGCCCTCACTCTCAGCCCTCACCCTTGCAAAGCAATGGCTGCCCACCCTCAGACGCTCTCTGCCATACCTTCCATAGGACTAAACCTTCCTTCCGGGTCCAGCTTGCTCGACCTCTACCCCTACTGCCTGCAGTGTTTCATCTCCTCCCTTAACACCTGGCTCCGTGGGCATCACCCCCTGCCCCCCAGCCCCTGGCTAAATCTGGGATGCCTAACGTGGTCTCTATTGTTATTATTGGTCCAGAATGTTCATGTCTATTCACCTGTGTGTCTTCTCTTCCATGGAAAGACTCAGATCTCCACAAGGGCAGGATTGTATCCTCAACTGAGCTCCCTCAGTGCTTCACATCAGCAGATATATCTTCAGAAAAGATGGATAGATGGGTGGATGATGGACAGATGGATGAATGAATGGATAGATGAATGCACTGATGGATGGGTGGATGATTGGATAGATGGGTGGAAGGATTTTTGGATGGATGGATAAGAAGGTGAACGATGTATGTATGGAAGGATGGATGGATAGGTAGATAGAAGGATGACTGGATGGATGGACGGATGGATGGATGGATAGGTGGATGGATGGGTGCATGAATAATGGAGTGAGCATCTTGCCTGCTGCCCTCATATACCTGTCCAATGTTTAGCAGAACCACCTAGGGGTACAAGGAATCAACAGATGGCTTCTTGCTTCCCTCTCTACATCAGGGAGCTACAGCTCAGTCATTCTATCTATCCTGTGTTGATTCCTAAAGGGCAGAGAGAATATGGTAAAAATAGCTATAAAGGTCGATGGAGGTCACACAAACGTAGCTTCAGTCGCAGCTCTGCCTTTAGCTAAGCCAGCTGTGTGGCTTTAGGCAAATAACTCAACCTCTCTGAAACTCCATGTCTTCATCTGCATAATGGGGTTGATGGTCGTCCTTACCTCAAAGGGTTATTATAAAGATTAAATGAGGAAATGCGTGGCAAGTAGCCAGGCCAAAGTTGGTATTCCATACAAGGTTATTGAATACATGGTAACTGTCAGTCAGGACAGTTTTGTTTGCAAGTATCAAAAACCTAGCTCAACCTGGCTTGTAAGCAAAAGAGGGCACCCCGACCTGAGGAGTTTACAGTGATCTGATTGGTCAGACTTGAGGCACACTCCAGTTTCTGAGTTGGGGTGAGATCAACCCACTAGTTGGAGAGAAGCTAGATCTCTCCTCCCTCTGGAGGAGGAGGGAGGAGCAGCCCGTGCCCACAGGGCTACCCTGCTGTGGGAGCTGCGAAACCTGGACCTCTTTCACGATGGCCCAGGGCCTGTGGGAGGTGGTGCATGGCCAGCACCTCCCCACCCCCGCCCAGGGCTCTCCTTGGGTGGGAGTGACCGCTGACATTCTGCCTCCCTGTGTCAGGGGTAGTCAGCCAGAAGAACCCAAGGAAGGGGTTTCTGCCCAAGCCCTTAGTGACCTTGAGGTTGGGCGGGTTCCTTCTCCCTCTATGGACCCATTTTTTCATCTGCAAAATGGACTTATTCGAGGAGATGCTCTCCAAAGCCTGCTCCAACTATAATAAAGGCAGCAGATGGCATTTATCAAGTACCTGATGTGTGCCAGGCCTTTGCTGGGCACTGGAATCACAGATGAAATAGACAAGCCCCAGCTTTCCAGGGTCCACGCCTGGTATCGCCCAACCTTTCCTTGCCACTTCCAGTATCTGTCATAGAACCAAGACGCCTTTTTAAAAATTTTGTATACTTTTAAAATACAGTTTAAGCTGTACTTATTGTATACAGCTTAAACATCCAAAGCGAATACGGTCATTCCTCAGTATCCTGGGGGCAGGAGGATTAGTTCCAGGACCCCCCACAGATACGCCAACTCCGATGCCCAAGTCACTTATATAAAATGGTGTAGCATTTGCATATAACCTACACGCATCCTTCCTTATACTTTAAATCATCTCTAGATTACTTATAATACCTAATACAATGTAAATGCTATGTAAATAGTTGTAAATACAATGCAAATGCTATGTAAGTAGTTCCCAGTTCACAGCAAATTCAAGTTTCGGTTTTTGGAATTTTCTGGAATCTGTTTCCCCTGAATATTTTCAATCCATGGTTGGTTGAATTCAGTGACACAGAGCTGGAAGACACAGAGGGCCGACTGTGTGTTGAATGTTTTTTATTTCTCTCATGAAAAACTAAAACCTCCAAATCTCTACTACCTTCAAAACATATCCATAATCAGGACCCTTCTCCCCACCTTTACTCACAGCTCCCTGCCCCAAATTTGAGGCACCATCATCTCTACCCTGGAGGAATCCTGCAGACTTGTCCTAGCCCCTAGCTCCCTTGCCCAGACCCTACCCCACCCTCCCACCCCCCACCACCAGTCTACTCTCCACCCTGTGGCCTGAACTTTCCTACCATGTCTTTGCTCTGCTGCTGCTGCTAAGTCACTTCAGTTGTGTCCGACTCTGTGAAACCCCATAGACAGCAGCCCACCAGGCTCCCCCATCCCTGGGATTCTCCAGGCAAGAACACTGGAGTGGGTTGCCATTTCCTTCTCCAATGCATGAAAGTCAAAAGTGAAAGTGAAGTCGCTCAGTCGTGTCCGACTCCTAGCAACCCCATGGACCACAGCCCACCAGGCTCCTCCGTCTACGGGATTTTCCAGGCAAGAACACTGGAGTGGGGTGCCATTGCTCTAAATCTCCAAAAATGTCCCATCTCACTCAGGGTGAAATGGTGAAAGAAAAAGCAAACCACAACCGTAGGCTCCTTCCCACCCCACCCCCTGTCCCCACCATTCCAGCTCTGCCGTCATTTCTTTCCACACCTAACTCGCTGACACCGTCCCACCCACAAGAGCACATTCCCACCTCAGGGCCTGTGCACTGGGAGTTACCCTGCCTGGAATGCTCTTCCCCCAAATACCTTCACCTTCAGGTCTGCTCAAGTCACTCGTCAGAGGGACTCCACGGTGATCCAGTGGTTAAGACTCCACACTTCCACTGCAGGGGTGCGGGTCCCATCCCAGGTCAGAAAACTAGGATCCCACATGCTGCAAGGTATGACCAAAAAATTAGAAAAAAAAGTCACTCATCAGAGAGGCCCTCCCTGAAAACTGCTGTCTAGCATAACACTCCTTTCTGCCCCTCTTTTGACTGCATCCCACCAGGTGTATTTTGTTTATTGTCTTACTTTGCCCACTGGAATGACAGCACTTTCCAAGTGGGAACATTATCAGTCTTGGTGACAGCTGTATTTCCAGGGCCTAACATGGCACCTGGCACTTTCTAGGTGCTCGCTAAACATCTGTTGAATGGATGAATGACTGAAGTCCCATGAGGGTTATTTTTTCTTATTTGCTCCTGGCTTAACTGCTTGTTATTTGCCTTCCATGGGTCAGTGGCTTGTATCTGGAGAAGGGTCTCCAGCAGGAATTCCTGCCTCGGTGACTGGGGCCTCGGTCCCTCAGGCCTGGGGAGCCATGGTGTGCCTGCATTGTCATTGCCTTTCCCCCTTCATTTTCTCCTGTCCTCACTCCCCGTAGCCTCAGTGTTAATTGAACCCCATGATGTCCCCAGAGCACAGTGAACCCCAGGGCTGGTGTGGGAAGAGTGATCCTGCAGTGGGCTCTTATTTCCCGGGGTCGCCATTCTACAGACCATTGTGTGCAAGGGGCTGCCTGTGAGTTGTGAGCCTTTGCCATGAAAATTGTCCTCAGCTGCTGTTGTGAGCGAGCGCCAGAGACTTGTGCAGTAATTACCCACCTGGCTACTTCCCAGGCTACGGGAGCCTCCCAGGAACTGCCCCCCTGATGGAGGAGGAAAGCTGGGAAGGACAATGCCCCCACCTCCAGACCCGGTCACCCCGGGCTGTGGCCAGCGACCAGATCCTTTGTAAGGAGACTGTCCCAAGTTTCTCCAGGGCCTTCAGGGCACAATCCCCATAGAAATGAATTATGAAAGGTCTATGTTCTAGAAAAGCCAGCCTTGCTAATAAAGAATGCCTTCCTCTTCTGTGGGTGAGGGGGAGAAGTCTGAATTCTGGCTCGGGTGTCCTTTGGAACTCAGTCTTATCATCATGTTATTAGTTGCCTATTAAACACATGCTTTGTGCCAGGCAGTCTTCTCGGAACTCACCCACATGATCTTTCAGCAGCTGTGTGAGTTAAGCCGATGTTCCCATTTTACAGGCAAGGAAACAGGCTAGAGAAGTGATTGGGGCTGCTGTGTGTCACACAACCAGGAAGTGCCAGAGAACTGAGATTCCAGGCTGTACTGGGGATCCCAAGAGGGCACCCAAATGGCCTTTTTAATAAAAATTTTACAGAGAAAAGCAGCCAAAGACCTTCCACTACTCCTCAAGAATCCAAGGTTGCTGTCGCCTTTAGAGGGACTCTGCAGTCCAGAAGTGGCTTTTGGAGGAAGCCTCTAGAAGCGGCTTTCCCTAGTGGCTCCGCTGGCAAAGAATCCACCTGCAATATGGGAGACCTGGGTTCAATCCCTGGGTTGGGAAAATTCCCTGGAGAAGGGAACAGTTACTCACTCCATATTCTGGCCTGGAGAATTCCATGGACTGTATAGTCCATGGGGTCGCAAAGAGTCAGACACGACTGAGTGACTTTCACACACTTTCTAGATGTGGAGGGTTTTGATGGGGACAGAAAAGTCAGTTGGCCCCACCCTGGCTGTCCTGACAAGCTCACTGGTGTTGTCCTGTCTGCGAGTGAAACGGCTCTGAATAGTGCTTCACTGGTCGGACGTAAACACACTAAACCTTGCTCTCAGCTCATCTGTGAGGCGGGCAGAGTGAGTTTGCTGCAGCAGTCTTGGGCAGTTTGTAGTGACTGAAACTTCCGATTACAGGTCAAATTAAGATGGAACTTAAAAACGGACATGACTATTAAAAGACAAATCGGGGCCACAATGTCGCCAGGGGTCCTAACCGTCCTGTCTGTCTCTTCCCGCAGAGTCCAGCCCGCCGGCCCGCCTCCTGGCCACCCGGCCCTGCTGCGGCCCCGGCCCGGAGCGGCGCCCGGTGCTGGGCGAGGCGCCGCGCTTCCACGCGCAGGCCAAGGGCAAGAACGTGCGGCTAGACGGCCACTCGCGCCGAGCCACGCGGCGCAACAGCTTCTGCAACGGGGTCACGTTCACGCAGCGGCCCATCCGGCTGTACGAGCAGGTGCGGCTGCGCCTGGTGGCCGTGCGCCCGGGCTGGAGCGGGGCGCTGCGCTTCGGCTTCACGGCGCACGACCCGTCGCTCATGAGTGCCCAGGACATCCCCAAGTACGCCTGTCCCGACCTGGTCACGCGGCCCGGCTACTGGGCCAAGGCGCTGCCCGAGAACCTGGCGCTGCGCGACACGGTGCTGGCCTATTGGGCGGACCGCCATGGCCGCGTCTTCTACAGCGTCAACGACGGCGAGCCGGTGCTCTTCCACTGCGGCGTGGCGGTGGGCGGCCCGCTCTGGGCGCTCATCGACGTCTACGGCATCACCGACGAGGTGCAGCTCCTCGGTAGGTCTTGGTCCCCACCGGAAGGGAGATAGGGTGGCCCTGCCGGGACCAGGGAGTGGGTCCTGGTGCGAATGAGGGTGTGTTTCTTTAACATTCACAAATACCCAGGGCTCCCTTTGCCAGGCGTCTTCTAAGCAGTTGGCACATTTCCACTCGTTTATCTTTGGCAACAACCCACCACCCCCGTTTTACCGATGGGGAGACTGAGGCCCAGAGTGAGTAAATGATTTGCCTTGCAGAACCTGGATGGGCATGCACACGGGTGTGGTCCAGAGTCCGCAGTCCCGTCCAGGTCCCTTCACCTGCTCCTTCAGGCAGTTGTGTGCTCACTCGCTCACTCATCCTTTCATCCGTTCCTGTTTGAGTCCCTTCACTCCTTTGTTCACTTGTTCATTCATTCATTCATGCAAGCATTTATTCTTCTGCTCACTCATTCATACATTCACTCATTCACATATCTGTTTATGCATTTGCTCATTCATTCACTCACAATCCACTTCCTCACTCAGCAATCAAACCCATGACCTAATCTTCTAGTACCTACACTGCCCAGGCCGTGGACAGTAGGTATCATATCAAGGTCCATGGTTAAGGGGGTCAGGGTCCACTGGGGATGCAGGCAGGTAAGTGTGGCCCTGGCTCTCACAAAGGAATGACTAATTCTGAAATCCTGATGGTGAGAACTCGTGGGATACAAGTCTGTTGCTCTTAAGACCCTATTTCTCTCTTTTTAAACTTTTTAAAAATTGAGGTAAAATTCCCATAACACAAAAGTAAAGTGTACAGTTTTGTGGCATTCCGTTGGCAACCATCACCTCTGTTTAGTTCCAAAACATTTTCATCACTGCAAAGAGAAATGCATACCCGTTAAGCTGCCACTCCCATCCTCACTTCCCCCCAGCCCCTGGCAGCCCCTGGCCTGCTTTCTGTTTGTGACGTTAGCTCTTGAACTCAGGTTGCACGTGAGCAGCCCAGCCTCCACTTCTGGGGGAGAAAAAGGAGAGCAGTTTCTCAGGGGACACAGCCCTATATGTATTTACCTACAATGAATGCACAGATCTAAAGTGTGAGTTTTGATGGAGTTACATACCGTACACCATAAGCCAAGTTGCTGCCTGCCCCTTTAAGGCAGCCCCCGGCTCCCCCGGGGCAGTCACTGTTCAATTATTCACCACAGATTATTGCACCACTACTTGACCGTCACATAAATGGAATCATGCAGTACCATTTGTGTCTGATTCCTTAATCTCAGCACCAGATCTTTGAGATTCATCCATGTTGTTACTATATCAGAAATGTGTTCCTTTTTCATTGCCCAGGAGTATTCCTTGATTTGAATGGAGTACAGTTTGTATATCTGCATGTCTGGGCAGTTTCTGGTCTTTCCACCCTGCATCTTGAGGGAAAACCCTGGCCCTGGGCTCCTTGCTGCCACCGCCACTGCCCACACCACCATTGGGCAGGGAGGGGAGATGCATGCATTCGGGCCCCCAACTCCCCAGAAGAAAGGCAGCAGAACTGAGCAGCTAGGAGCAGAGGGATGGGAGTCACATGGATCTCTGCTCCACACCTGGCTCTCCACTTGCCAGCTCTGTGGCCTTGGCCAGGTGACCAAACCTCTCTGTACCTCAGTTTCTTCATCTGTAAAATGATTTCACGATAGTACCTACCTCATGGGAGTGTTGGCAGGGGAACATGAGATGGTGTATGAAAGGGATACTGCATGACGCCTGGCATGTGGAAGGCCCTCAAGAAATAATAGCTAAGAAATGGGAATCTGCCCGTCTGCACGGGGGCTGAGGCATGTGTCTGAAATCCAGGCTTAGGCAGACCAATTATAAATAGCTACCCATCCTCCAAGCTGGGGTCTTACTCGTGCATTTTAACCATGTTCCCCCATGCTCTTTTCCATGGAAGTTTCTGGTATTTTACCCACAAGAAATGCAGGTTTCTAAAAGCAGGGAGTCCTCTAGACCCCCTGTCACTCTTTTTTGAAGCTCTTTATTCCTATAGAGCAGGGAAACAATCGGGCCTCATTCACCTGCTCCTTCAGACAGCCCAAGTCTTGGTACCAGCCGAGACATCACAGCCACTCCGTAATCAGCACAAGTGGATTAGGATTTAAAAAAAAAAATACAAATTGGAAGCAGCCTCTACTGATGACTTTATGAACTGAACAGACCTGTGAGGAGTCATGGACTCTTGCCTCCCTGCCTCATTCGTTTGTTCATTTAACAAGCCTTTGCTGAACCTCTCCAGCACCCCACTCCCCTTGGAGGAAAGGAAAGGGCCGCGGAGCGTCAGTGTCGGGGGCAGACAGGAGCCTCCGTTTTCTGATCTGCCAGCAGCGCCCGCGGTGGGTGGTTGGCGCGGAGCACCTAGCACTGGTGTGGGACGATGTTCGCAATGACACGCGGGAGGGAAGATGAGATCAGAAAGAATGCCATCCACGGGTGAAGGGAGCATAGGTGAATCTCACTTCCTTCTTTATACCTCTCTGAGTTATCTTTTTAATATATACAGAAAGGGCTGATATTGCTTTTACAAGCAGAAAGGGCAATAAAGTTATTTTCCTTTCTGAAGGTTATATGAGATAATGGAGAACTTACTGACTTGTGATCAAGGCTCAATAAATGTTTCCTTCCCAGGGAAAGAGAAAATTGACATTGGTTATATATCAGGGTGAAGGGGTTATGGGTTTTTTTTTTCTCCTCTCCCAAGTTATCAACAATGATTTATAATCAGAAAAAAAATTATAATAAAAATAAGGAAGCAAAGTAGGTACTCTGGGCAGTAGGTACTCTGCTGTTGCCAGCACAGCATGAGAACCACAGAAATCCCACCATAAGTGGGGTCCCTCCCTCCCAATTCCTGGAAGAACTGGGCTTCTGAGAGTGGTGTCCACTGTACCACCTGGATAAATAAGAGGTGGCTGATGTTCGTATCAAGCAAATTCCTCTGGCCTCCTTTTCCTCATGAGGAACAAGAAGGTTAACACAGTTCCTTTAGGGCCTTAGCTGTAAAACTCCAGAATAGGGACCCCGCATCCCTCCTTCAGGTGGCGCTAGTAGTAAAGAACCTGCCTGCAATGCAGGAAACACAGGTTCAAACTCCAGGTCCAGAGATCCCCTGGTGAGGAAAGTGGTAACCCACTTCAGTATTCTTGCAGGGACAATCCCAGACAGAGGAGCCTGGCGGGCTACAGTCCATGGAGTCACAAAGAGTCAGACACGACTCAAGTGTAGGACCATCCATCTGTCCCTCCCTCCCTCTCTCGGGTCCCACTGGATAGAGCCTCAACACCAACAAGCTCCAGCAGCATCTGGTTAAGGCTGTCAGGCTTAGGATGCACGGTTACACTTGAATTTCACAAAAACGATGAACAATTTCCTTAAGTATATCCCATGCAATATTTGGGGCATACTTAGAATTTGGTTTTTTAATTTTTACTTTGGAGTATAGTTGATTTACAACAAGTGTACAGAAGTGATTCAGTTATACATATATCCATCCTTTTTCAGATTCTTTTCCAATATAGTTTATTATAGAAAACTGGGGAGAGAAGAATTTGTTGTTTATCTGAAATTGAAATGTAACTTTGCTTCCTATACTTTATCTGGCAGCCCTCATCTGGGAAGCGTCCTCCCCATCTGAGGGATGGGGTGCACTGTTTTCACCCTGAATCTTGAGCCAAAATTAAGTCTCAGAAATAAAAAGGGATTCATAGTCCTTGCCTGTTTCTTTTACACCCTGGAATTGTGCTTTCAGCCCAGCATCCTGCAAGGGGGTCCAGCTGCAGCAGAGAGCACCGCCTCTCTGTGGCCGGACCCTGGGGTACCCCCTCTTGTGAGTTTCAGTCTTTCCTCAAGATAGGCTGACTTAGCCCCTTTTTATTTATTTTTATAGTTCCACTATATATTACAATTAATTTTTAAGTAGCTAAATTAAGATTTTTAGTTGGAATTTCAGTATCAAGCTCTCAAAAATTAGTAGAATGAATATACAGAAAAGTAGAAGGAAATAGTAGACCTGAAAAGCACCATGAACCAATTCAACATAATTAAGATTTATACAGTTTTCACACAACAGCAGGATACAAATTCTATTCAGGTTCCCATAGACTGTATACTAGGAGACGCTGGACATAAAACAAAGTACAATAATTTCATGGTCTAAAAGTACTGAAATCATACAGTCTGTTCTCTCATCACTGTGGATTTATGTTAGAAAGACTTCCTTGATGGCTCAGTGGGTAAAGAATCCACCTGCAATGCAGGAGACACAGGAGACACGGGTTTGATTCCTGGGTCAGGAAGATCCCCTGGCGGAGGAAGTAACTGAGGCCCTTCTAGATAAACAGTCGAGGGCTTGGAGAAGGGAAGTATCTTGGTGAGAGTGACAGAACCAGGATTAGAGCCCAGATGCATCTCCCTTTAGTTTGGTGGTTCCCAGCCTTGGCTGCATATTGAGGTCACCTTGGGCGGTGGGGGGCGCAGGTGTCATGGCTCGCAAAACTCCACTTCCCAGGCTGCACCCAGACCAATTAGATCAGAACCTGGGAGTTGGCTCCAGGCATCCAGGTTTCCTAAGGCTCCTGGGGTGATCCCCGGGTGCAGCCAGGATTGATCACAGTGACCCTCTCTGCACGGGCCCCTGTTCTGGTGTCCCTTTCTGGTGCTGGGCTGAGTTCCTCAGACCTCTAGTTCAGGGCATCGCAGCATCACGGAAGCCCCTTCTCTTGTCTTGACTTTTCTGCTTCATCTCCAATCTCGACTCCCACTCACGCTTTCCCCTGCCCAGATAAGCAACACTCTTGATGTCTGGCATAAGTCCTTGAGCATGTATTTTTAAAAAATACATAGAGCTATTTTGTATGTTTGGCATGCATAGGTGAATGGTATCGTGCTAAGGGTCTTACTCTGTTTTCCTTTATTCACGTGCCCCATTTTAAGATTTATCGGTGTCCGTCTGTCTGGTTCCGTGTTTCCTAACTGATGGAT